TACAAATTAAAAATTTGGTCCAACCAATAAATTTCTGGTTCAACCCGTTAAATCGAATTTATATAGAACTATATAATAAGGAAAAAAAAGTATCATTTTAAAGGACACAAGTTTGTGTTCTTTTAAGTGATTTACATAAAGCATGACCGGTTATACTTTTTGTAAATTTGAAAAATTACTTTTTTTTTTCTCTCTCCCCAATCACATTGTTGATGTGTAAAGTGAAAAAAATAGTAACTTTTTAAATTTACACAAAGTATGACCGGTTAAATTTTGTGTAAGTCACTAAAAGGACACAACTTACATCCAATACTAAACCCATATAATAAATATAATAATATATGTCTTTTAACATCAAAGTCGTAATAACCTAGTGGTAAGTGTTGTTGACAACCTATTTGATCCTTGGAGAATGCAAGATTTAAAATATTTTAGGCAGAATTTCAAAACTAGTCCATTCAAAAAAATGTGTACCGGCTGAATATCAGTTGAACCGTGGTTTATAATTGGGTCACCAATTTGATACCGTGTTAATTGCACAACTGATTCGCTACGTGAATAGAACCACTCCATGGTCCACCGGTCTTGCTAGCGGGGTCAACAGGATTGCAAGTGTGGCATATTCCATTTTTACAAATAATTTGAAAAAACATGACACAATAGCAATCTATCCAAGGATATTTTAAGTTACAATAGTTTAATGATAACTCTCCTAGTATATGTAAACCTTAAACATATATTATCTATTTTATTTTCTTATATTTTTCCATAAAGTAAATATTTAAAAGGTTTATTTTTTTCTTGCAATAGAAGATAAATTTATCTTCTATAATAAGAGATTAAATTATTTCTTACAACAACAAAAATAATATCATTTTGTAGAGATAAATTTATCTCTATACATAACAAACACTTTTCCGACTGTAAAATATATAGGATATCAAGTTAGTTATATGAAAATTTTATACATCAATTTGATATATCAATGTTAAAAATAAACACAAATTTTATGATTAAATTAATGTTCAAATACACGTTGAGGGACTGAAATAATATTTTGAATATCAAATATGAAGGATTCAGATTCGTTTAATGTACCTTATAAAGAGGATAAGATAGGATAATCTATTTTATCATGTTCTTATCCCTTGTTTGGTGAGTTCAACGAATAGGATAAATTGTATTAAAAAAAAAACAAAGAATAGGATAAATTTATCAGGTTGAGTCATTTTATTCTGCCGCTCAAAGCCTGATAATTTATTCCAAAATTTAATTTTTTTTGTTTCCCAACTCATCTCTGAAAAATGAAAGGATCCTTCTGCATGCACGTCAACTGGAACCGATAGAGAGACAGTGAGAAAAAGAGAGAGAATAGAGAATCAGAAATCTGAATGGCGAGGGAGCTCAAGAAGAAAGCGAAATAAGCATTGTTTGACGACGACTTTGCTGTTGTCGTTGATCTCTATTCTCAAGCCATCCACTTGGATCCCAACAATGCCATCTCTTTGCCAATAGAGCCTAAGCTCATATTAAGCTCAACGCTTCCACTGGTCTATGCTTTTTCTCTATATATTATTCACTTTCTCACACATGTTTATTTACCCCATCCATTAATTCATTCATATTTCCATGAGCAGCGGTTTTTGATGCAAACAAAGCTACTCAGTTGAACAGATTCGTCAGTACAAATTTGACTAAGAAAATATAAATTATGATTTTACAATTTTTTTATATGAGGTATTTTAATCCATTCACTTTTAAACACATGATAGAATAACATAACTCTATTAGACTAGTGCATATCAAACACGGGATATTATACGTGCTTATCTAGTCTATATCATTTTCTATCATTATCCAATTCTTTTATCCTATCTGTACTTATCGTCTATCAAGCACCGACACTTCAAAAATCTTGACGTGTCGTGTCTGACACTTCTCGACACTCTCCGACACTCAGACACTCCAACACGCGTTATAGAAATTCAAATACAGATTCAAAGGTTGCGTTGAGTTTTTAGTTCCAACTATTAGATTCGTTGGATTACGATTACCATTTTATTGAGTTTAATATAAATATTTGTGATATCTTATGTTTCTTTGCAAAATTGATGAATATTATAAGTTTAGTTTCATTTTTTTGTTAAATTATTGAATATTAAATATAATATACACTACATAAATTAAAAATATTATTTAATAATCAAAATGTGTCCTAACGTGTCGAAATCTAACATTTTTTAGAATTAACGTGTCGGAGTGTCGTGTCGTATCGTGTCACGTGTCCCGTGTCAGTATCGGTACTACATAGCTTACCTTATGCTGTGGCTCTAAATTAATGTCTAAAATTTTCTCCAAAAAAAAAAAATTAATGTCTAAAATTTGTAAGGACCGACTTAATGTTTCATATATTTTTTAAAAACTAATTTTATTATTTACTTAATTTTCTTATTTTCAATTTAATCCCTATAATTTTCACTCTTATTTTGGTCACTGTGTTAGTATCAACACGTTGGCTTTCACAAAAAACGGTGCCACCTCAGCATCTGTTTGACGCATTAGACTACAAACTAACACAGTTATAATCATGATTAATAACTAGGTCCACTTTACAAATGATTGCAACTGGATTGATTTGAAAAATAAATAAATAAAGTATAGGAATTAAATTGAAAAAAAAGTGAGGTGTAACTTATAAGAATCAAATGGATAATTCAACCATTTTTTTTAGGGGATAGGTTATTTTGCCTACTCCCAATTTGCCTACCTTTGCCTACCTCTTTCATTATCGTTCAATTACGATCTCATCCAATGGTCAATATTCGCAATATAAAATAAGTCTTTTTTTCTCTTTCTTTCTCCTCACTTCCTTACACACCATTTCTCTCTCCTTAGCTTTCTCTCTTTCTCGGTGGTCAATTTTGAAACCTTACAATACTCTGATCAAAAAAGAACAAAAAAACACATATCATCGACAACTATCAGGAGCATCAAGAGCCATGGGCACGCCAAGGAGCATCAAGAGCCATGGGCACGCCAACACCCACTGCAGCGGTTGTATAAAAGCAGCACCTCACGTTTGGTGCCCTAATTCTCAAATTCCAATTCTCGATTTACCACCAAAAATTGTCACTAGAAGAAAGCAGAAGCAGAGTTTCATTTTCGTTAACTCTCTTCTCTGCAGCGTAGCTGTTTATCTCCATTGTTACCACATGATTAAGAACTCCCAAAGATCAAGAATACTGTTAAGAAAAGTTTCATCATAAAACAATTGATCACATCGTGCTCTTCCTTATTTAATTCAATTGAAGATCAACTCGCTGCAAACATATACTGTTAAGTAATTACTTGTTGCGAAAAATAAAAATCAGACCACAAATGTGTAGACAAAAATGTGGATGGATGCAGAGGTGCCGATGGAAGATAATATGAATAGGTATAGGTATACAACTATAGCTGCTAATAACAGTACCTAATTAGATGTGAAATTCCCATAATTTCTTTCGTTCCAAACAGGTTTTGATCTTTGGGAAATCGAATTATGGACAGTGGGAATTTTGAGGTTTTGGAGGAAGTGAGGTTTCAAGATTGATGGTTGTCGATGGTATGTGCTTTTTGTTCTTTTTTGATCAGAGTATCGTAAATTTCAAAATTGACCGTCGAGGAAGAGAGAAAGCTAAGGAGAGAGAAACTGTGTGTGAGGAAGTGAGGAGAAAGAAAGGGAGAAAAAGACTTATTTTATATTTCAAATATTGACCGTTGGATGAGATCGTAATCGAACGGTAATGAAAGGAGTAGGCAAAGGTAGGCAAATTAAGAGTAGACAAAATAACCTATCCCTTTTTTTAGATATTCATATGCAATTTAACATACCTTTACATGTCAGTAACTTCTTCTTTTTTGGAATTCCTGTACATATAGCAATTTTCTTTGCAACTTAATGTAAAAATTAATCATGATACAATGTTTTAAAAATTGAGCAAGTGACTGAAATGTTAATGAGAGAATTCTATGGGTTTAAATCCTAATCGATAAACTGTAAACCATACAAATGAAATGAGGTATAAGTTCTAGAATGGAGAGGTATATAGCAAGTTAAATTACAGGCAAAACGATCTCAGTGGGATTCGATCCCGAATACCACTTGAATTGCTTTGGGTTAAACGAAGATTTTACTTGAAATTTAAACATAATATGTAAGTAAATAAATCATGAAAAGATAAAATAAAGCACTTATGAAATATCTCACGATTTATATTTATCAAGTATCCCAAACAATATGAAGTGGTTCTATACTCTCATTGTATAAATAAATAAAAATTTGTTTAAGGACTTGAGGCATTTATTTTAGGATTTCTCTTTTCTCATGTCACATGAGATATTATCTCTCATGTCATAGATACAATAAGTGGTGGATCCCACCACTTATTAAAAAAGAAGAAAAAATAAAAAGAACAACACGATTTTCCATGTCTCATAACATGAGAAAACTATCTCATGTTACATAAGAAAATAATTTCCCTTTATTTTATCTCTTTAAAAAAAGTATTTAAAAAAAAAGATAAAAAGGAAAATTGATTTGAACTACCAAATTCCTGAAAATAGTAATTGATTTGAATAATCCATGCAGCGTGCATCTGCTTAGACAATTTTGTTTTATTTTTTATAGCAAACGAATTTTAGAGATGGACTGAATTAGCTGTTTTCAATTTCCATTTTTAAACAAGTTTTCAATTTCTTCAATCCAACCAAATTTCCATTTTTCAAATCATGCCCAGTGCGAATTTCCCTTGGATTGAAACTTATGTACTAACGCATGAAGTTGGTAATTTGGTACACTAACTAATTACCCAGTATATGCTCCAGCATATTCTCACTAGTAAGCACCACTAGCACACCACAGAATAACGCAGAAACTGAAGCAAAAAGAAACCTTGTTTTCCAATTTCCAAAGCGGGCATAATCGCATGTCATCCACTCTTTTTCTTGAACAACGCCAACATATACCTCAATGACAGCCAAATTTCATAAAGTTGGAGAGTGAATCAAAATAGCAGTACCTCTCAAGAATGTAATCATACATAATAAAAGTATCTCATACATGGAAAAACTTATTTCTATCTCAAACAAAATTAGAACACTCTTCCACAGTTGCTCCATTAACTACTGTGTTGAACGAATTTGAAATGATGAAACAACTTAACCATCTGACAATAATTATTGCCAAAAGTAAACTTTACTTAAGTGAAAACGAAACTTGAAGGCAGCTAGTTGACTACATCAAGAACCAGCTTGCGAGACTTTAGAACTGACCACCTCAAGCGGCGGTAATAGGCAGCTTGAAGTAGTGCTAGGGACAGTACGAAGATCCATTTAAATCCCATCTGCATATAACAGCAAGTGTCGTCAGAATATAGGATAATAGGCCCATTTGGATAGATTTTTTTTTTTAAAAAAAAAAATACTTTTTATGCAAAAAATTTAAAATGATTTTTTTTCAAAAGCCAAAGCTATTTTGCGTTTGGATCAATATCAAAGAAGCATTTTTAAGTAAAAGCCAGTATTTTGGCTTTTTTCAAAAGCCAGAAATCTTGGCTTCCAAAATAAGCACCATTTTCAGCTTTTTATCTGACTTTTGTTTTTTTTCAAAAGTTGCATCCAAACACAACAGTTTAGTCTTTAATTGATCTGCTGGAAAAAGGATATCAAAGGAAACAAACCAGTTTTCTCTCTTCCATCTCAGGTTCCGCGGCCCAAGTTAAGAATGACACAACATCTTTCCCCATCTGCAGCAAAAAATAAAATAAAATAAAAAACATGACAACATTCTTTCCAAGCCCATAAATGATGCATTTCATTTTACTGAAACCATTCATCCAGAAAACAAATTTAATACCTGAGCTTCTGTAGCAGGCGTACCATCTTCATATTCAACAGCACCATCATTAAGCATTTTAGGCATGGCAATTGCTCCACCAGGAAAATAAGGATTATAGTGAAGTCCCTCTCTAATCTACATTATTATTTAAACATAGCCATAAATAAAAGTTTAAGAACAAAATATTGGCATATTGATAAGGGGACAAAATAATCATATGAACTTTTACCAAACATTTAGATTTTATGAGAATTACCGATTGTAGGGGACAAAATAATGAAGCTCATCATTACATGGTGAATATCCATATAAATATATGACTGAGAACTAGAGTCACACACACACACACATGTAGTAACTAGAAAGTGGAGTGTTTGTTGTGAGAAGCTACATGAGTGAATCTTGACTATTAGATCTCACATGGATGGTCAAGAATAGATTTTATTTAAAGGTCACATATCACTTAAATAAATCACTTGCATTTATGTTTTAATTTTGACTATGCATGACCAATCCAACTGTCAAGATTGCATCCTCTTGTCTCTCACTCTCACAATAAACACTATAATTATATATATATATATATATATATATATATATATATATAAGATCGACTTACACCTATTCTTAGAAGTTGATTTACTTGTATCCAATGACTCACGTAACTAACAAATTAGACCCGTAAGATATAAGTTGGATGAACGGTCAACATTGAATGTAACTTACACTAGTGTAAAATGATTTTGCCTCATATGAAGTGAGAAGAGCTAATCTTGACCATTCAATATGTATATGAACAAGATTGCTTTTACTTAAATCTAATATTGAAAAGCCATGTAAAAATTGAATGGTCAAAATTAGCTCCTCTCAGAATATGCTTTATTATTGAGGAATCCTATTGAATCAGAAAATGGCATATATGATATGCAAGGGAAATCATGCTTAACATCAAAAGGCATACTATGAGCTATCTATGAGGCGCTGTACAAAAAAGAAATCTCAAGATAGCTTTTCAATGGTCCCCACCCCTACACCCTGCATCAGGAACATGTTCATTAATAGGCACATAAAAGGGAAATGAAAAATAGAATAAAATTAAAAACCGTATTTGTATTTGACAGTGGTTGACTGGGCTTACACTTATTTCAAAACCAAATAACAGATTTGCAACACATTTTATTTCAGTTCAGAAGCAGGCATCAGGATGCCTAGCATTTTCCATCAGACAACTTCAGCAAAATGCACTAAAAGTTACTTTACTAAATAAAAGATAAGATTTAAGAAAGATAATAAATAAGAATTTACCGAAACACCAGCAGGAGGGTCACGATAACCGGTTAGAAGGGCAAATACATAGTTCTGACCATTGTGACGGGCCTGGAAAATCAAGAGAGTAAATATATTTCTGGCATACATACATAGAAAATTCTAGAGACATTACTATCAAATAATTGGCATTACTTTGGTAATAAGACTTAGATCTGGGGGATAAGCTCCTCCATTAGCAAACCTAGCAGCTGATTCATTTGCATATGGCTGAGGAAAACGATCGCTGAGTTTACCAGGGCGGGTAAACATCTCACCCTCATCATTAGGGCCATCAACCACCTCAATCTCAGCTGCCATAGCCTTTACCTCATCTTCTGTATAAGCGACACCAACCAAATCACGGTACGATATCAAAGACATAGAATGGCAGGAAGCACAGACTTGTGTATAAACTTGATGACCACGACGAATCCTGCTCATGCAACATTAACTGAAAGCATTTAGACATCAATTACTATTAAATAATTAATGTTAATATAGCATTAATGTGACATCTGTTTTAAATACATGATAGCAGCAGAACATGTAATTCACCTATATGAACCCTGCCACGGAAAATGACCTTAAAGAAGGGAAAATTGGAAATAATTTCTTTTGCAGAATTAAGAGTTGAAACTATTTTGGCAGGAAAACCATAATCTAGCAATCAAAGATACAAATGTCATCACATTAGTCCTTGCCCCATGAGGCAAAAGTTACAGATAGGATTCCTCACGGACCGTGGGCGTTTGGATGAACGAGATGTCGTTTATGGTCATTGAAGGACATATTTGATGTCACCTATAAATGGAGGACCAATGTGATGACACTTGTATCTTTAAAGGTCCAGAATAATTATTCTCTAATAAATATTATAATCAACATGTAGTAAAGAGTCACAGACAAGAACCAAACCATCAAAGACGTATGAAATAACAAGGCAAAAGAGGAAGAATGAATTGCTGATCTAAGGATGGGATAAATGATAAATCAAGGTCAATTAATTAAAAAGGAAATAAACCAAATACATATTACCTATAATCCAGCAGGGACATGATTGAGTGTAATTAGTTGCTAACTTAGCAAATGATATTGTTAAGAAAAAAATAGAAGGGAAAATTCAAGTCAAACTCACGAAGCATGATCATATGAACTGAGGATGCCCTTGTGAGGCCATGGATACTTTGGACATGCCAGGCCATGCTCGGCTTCATCAGCTGATGCTGTTGTTGCAAAACTCAAAATCCCTGACACACCAGCTCCAATTAATGCAAGTGCTCTTAAGGACCTGCTGCCAGTAGAGCCAGCATCATCTTTCTTTGCTATGATGGATGACAAAAAGGAAGGGTTCTGCAGTGAGTATAGAGCAGCTATTAGCAAAACACACAACCAACTTGTTCCATGGGATGCAAATTTTTATCAACTTATTGAAACCTTACAAGAAGCATGAATGTCCACATAAGTATGTACAAGGGTCCAGCTTATATTAGATCCTATTAGTTGGAATTGGACCTAACTTCTCAGCCCTCTTAATGAGGAAGAAAAAAAGCTAATACATTGAATAACCATATGAAATATATCCAGATAAATCAGTATTGGAAGTCAGAGATTTGCATTTCATAATCAAAAGCCATTTTGCGAAAACCCCCAGCTTTTATTCTACGGATCTCCATTTTGGGTCATGGAGGCCTAAAGGGTCCTAAAAAGATAAATACCCCTAAAAGCATCAAATTAACATGAAGAGAGGGGCCAACGCTTACAGTAGATTGAGGCTGGAGTTTCCTCCTCAATAACTGCTGAATAATACCTCCAGCCATCTCAGTCCACACTGTAGATCATTCACAAAAACACACCTTGATAATAAATAACTTCATCCAACTAAGTAATAGATATAAAGTCATAAAAATAAGCATAAGGACAATAAAGAGGATAACATCGTGAAACAAGCGTGAATTGCAACAGATATAATTGAAAGTTATAAATAGTTCACCAAATCTCATCTGCAATGAACAAGACGAAAACTAGCAATGAAAATTGCCACAAGAAATGCTATCGCACTTATGCTGAGATGATCTATCAAGCAAAACAGCTTTCAACATTTCATAAACAGGTATGTAGCTTTAAAACCCGATGCATATCATTAGCTGGACAAATTTCAATCACTAGGTTCATATTTCTTTATAAAATACATAACAACAAACAAAACCCTAGACAAAGGTAAACGAAAAAAAAAAAGACCAGATGCTCTTAATTGCCAACGAACCATGGATATAATGGTTACCTTACCCATTAAGAACACGGGTATAAACAATAGAGAATCCTAGACACACGAGATAACATAATAATAATAAAGGAAAGGTTATACTTACAACCTAACCTATTTTTGTTTACAATATTTTACAACCATATCTTAACAGTTGATTTCCGTCAATCAACGGTTATCATTCATTGCAAATTAAATATTAATTAATGAGTTTAATTTGCAAAAATAATAACCGTTGATTGACGAAAATAACGGTTAAGATATGATTGTAAAAGGTTGTAAAAAAAAAAAGTGATAAGTATAACCTTCTCCTAATAATAATAATAGAACAAGAACAAAATGCAAAAGATATAAAGCTTAACAAGCACAGCAACTGCGAGAGAGGGAGAACAAAATATACTGTTTTATGAGATGACACCGGCTATCTACTAGATAATTTTAATCGGCGTATTTCCAGAATCCAGATTATGCAATCATCAATTACTAGTTCTCTCACAATTATCATACGTGATACAACCATATTAAAAATTCTCATAAGGTCTAAATCGTGATTTTAGAATAACACACTTCAAATTCTAAACAACATGTACTTATTAAAATAAAAATAAAAAATAAAAACGGAGCCTAAACAATACAAACGCAATTCGAAATGATTATGAGAAAATAGAAAAACCTAGAATTGAAGAGTGGGGAATAACAGGATAGAAAGGAAGAGGAATAATGGAATAGAAGGGAACTCACGAAATGGAAGCGAAGACGAAGCTTGAATGGTCAAAGGGCACAATTCTCTCTCTCTCTCTCTCTCTCTCCCAGATTCAATTGAAGAGAACAACACCAACAAAGCCAACAGGAGCAGCCACTGAGTGAGAGGACCCACTCATCAGATCAGTAATGCGACACGTTCTGTACTCGCCACCACAATTGCTCCCAAATTTTGGGCTTTTCTTTATGGGCCTCGTGCCACAATCTGTTGCAGCCCACGTATCTTGCTTCATTTTTTAAGGCTTGCCATAAAAAAGTGCAGTTCAAAAAAATAAAAAATCCAAGTGGTTTATTTTATTTTATTTTGCATCATTTAGTTTTAAGTTTTGAGGTAACTTTTGTCCCGGAGTGTTACGCACAATTAGGGGTGTAATTGGGTCAGGCTGGCCTGACCTAACCTACAGCCCGGTCTACGTTGAAAAGTAGAGTATACTTAGACTGATAAAAAAGCTTTTTTAACAAGTAGGTCATGGGCCAATTTTATCAAGTCTGGCCTAAAGCCTTGTAGGCTAGCCTATTTATTTTTTAAAAATAGAATAAAATAATATATTTATTTTAGGTGGCTTTATTTAATGCTTACTAGTGAAATTTATATCTCGTGTAAAAAAATGCAGCAATTTATGAACAAATTAATAACTTGTAATGTCAAGCGAATATTTTAAAAATTGTTAAAAATATTTTTAAAAAATTTTAAATTTTTTTAAAAATATATCACTAGGGAGGCTTACAAGGCCTGAAGGCCATATAAGGCTCTCTAATTTTTAAAAATAGGCTAGACATGGCCTATAAATAAAGTCTTTAGTAGGCCAATAGGCCAGATAGGCTGAATATATTTTTACGTAAGTTTAGGCCAAGAAGGCCAAAGTCCGGCCCAGCCTGGCCCATTTACACCCCTACGCACAATTACAGGAAATTGTGAGTAATTGTAACGTAGTTATGGTTTTATCCAACAAAATGCTTATTTAGTAGCAGACTTTTTGTCTTTTTTTTTCTCTAAAGATGCTTAGATCCTGTTTGGGGTATCTTTATTTTAAGTTAAAAGTTATTTTTAAGTTGAAGTTAAAAAAAAGAGCCTAAAAAATAAAGTTAAAAATTATTTGGTAATTGTATAAAGTTTATTCTTAGGGTTTTGAAAGGAGGGGACGAAATGAGCTTAAAAAATAAAGTTAAAAGTTGTTTGATAATTTTATTACGGTAAATAATAAAATTTATAAATAAAAATTTAAAATAAGAATATAATTGAAAAATGAATATGAGAACTCTTAAATCTAACATATATTTTTTAAAAAAACTCTTCATTGGAGCGTTTAATTTTTAGCTTTTTTCTATATTGAATAAAAAAGCTCTTTTTATAATAAGAAATTTTGTAAAATTATATTTGGGTAGACTTTTATAATTCTAAAAATGTAAGAAGAAAACTAGAAAAGAGGTAAAATCACTTTTGACTTTTGTGGGAGACAATAAAGGAAAGGTGGTTTTGACTTTGTGAGAGACAATAAAGGAAAGGTGGTTGCCCATTTTATACTTGGAAGGTAGTTCTCACTTATTAGTATAGTCCCCATCTATCAATTTTAACATCTCATTCTCATAGTGAAAATTCATATAGTATTTTATGATTATTTCTGCAATTTTGTGTATAGAGAGATGTATTATCTAATCTCAAGATAAATGTAATTTTGCTCTCATTATATATAGTTGTAAGTTATTTTACTTAGTGAACATTTTTATACTTTTTCCCATGATTGTCCCCTTATTAGTTGAGGGTTTTCCATATTGCATGGTACATCTATTTCTAATTTTTCTCAGAGGGAGGATATTCTTACTACTAAAATTTTCTACTACTAACTTACTACCTATATAATCACCATTGAATCAAAGAGAGAGAATGCTATAAAGTTTTTGAAAAAAGAGAAAATGTTGATCCAATAGTGATTAGATAGGTAGTGAGTTGGTAGTAGAAAATTTTGGTAGTAAGAATATCTCTCCTCTTTTTCTCAACTATATTTTAGTTGTGTGATCATAATTCTATGATCATGACATCCAAAATGAGCAAGAACCATAAATTATTTACAAAAATACTTTATTGCTTAAGTGTTGAAACTTTAAAGCCCTAACTAACTTCTTCAAATAAACTTTGTCAAAAAATTTGTCTGCAAATCATATATTCAGCCCGAGGTAACATTACAAATTTATATACACAGAGAGAGTAAGTCTTGCCTAAATAATTACTAAATCAAAACCTATGATTAGAGACCTATAATTACAAAGAATCGCTAAACATACTCCTAATTTACAAATCATTCCTAATTTATAGCTCATTTAATCACTCCCCCTCAAGTTGGTGCATAAATATTTTGAATGCCCAACTTGTCAAGTGAGCTGTAAAATGCTTTGCTAGCTACCGCCTTTGTTAAGATGTCCGCTAGTTGGTCTTCTGATCTCACAAGTGGAAGGCAAATAATCTTTGAATCTAGATTTTGCTTGATGAAGTGACGATCTATTTCGACATGTTTGGTTCTGTTATGTTGGACTGGGTTATGAGATATATCAATAGCTGCCTTGTTGTCACAAAACAACCTCATTTCAGATTATAAGGTGAACCCCATCTCTGATAGGAGCTTTCAAAGCCAAAGTAGTTCACACGCACCTTTAGCAATTCCTCTAAATTCAGCCTCAGCAATAGACAGTGCCACTATCTTTTGTTTCTTACTCCGCCAAGTGACTAGGTTGCCTCCAACAAATGTAAAACAACCTCCGATTGATCTCCTATCATAAGTGCTCCGGCCCAATCTGCATTAGTGTATCCTTCAACTTCCAAATGGCCATTTTTTTTGAAAAACAATCCCCTACCCGGCGAAGTCTTCAAATATCGAAGTACACGTAATACCTCATATCAGGTCTAGTGTGAAATAAGTATATTAGCTTACCTATCAGCCTTTGATATCTTTCCTTGTTGGTTGGTACCTGATCTGGATATTCTCCAAGTTTGTGGCTTTGAACTATAGGTGTATCTGCAGGTTTATAGTTGACAGAGAAATATTCCCTCCTTGGAGCGTGCCACTTCAATTCCAAGGAAGTGTCTTAGACCACCCAGGCTTTTCATTTCAAATTCCTCAGATAATTTTACTTGGAGTATAGCAATTTCTGTTGAGTCATTTCCTGTAATTATCATGTCGTCCACATAAATTATTAAGGTTGTAATATTACCTTGGCATCTCTTTAGGAACAATGTGTGATCTGAATTGCTTTGAGCATATCCATATTTTTTCATAGCTGCTGCAAAGTGACCAAACCATGCTCGAGGAGATTATTTTAGGCTATACAAAGATCTTTTAAGTTTGCAGATTGTATTATTTTTCAGTCCTGGAATGGAATATCCTGGTGGTATATCCATGTAAATTTTCTCCTTTAGATCTCCATGGAGGAAATCATTTTTCACATCAAATTGATGGAGCGGCCCATCTAAATTTGCTGCAATAGTACCCACACTGTGTCAAATTTAGCTACTGGAGAGAATGTTTCTTGATAGTCAATACCATATGTTTGAGTATACCCCTTTGCCACAAGTCTTGTCTTGTACCTCTCTACAGATCCATCTGTTTTGTATTTTACTGTAAACACCCATCTGCATCCTATAATCTTCTTTCCAACTGGAAGTTCCACTAGCCTCCATGTATTATTTTTCATGAGAGCAATCATTTCCTCCTCCATTGCTTTAACCCACTTTGGGTCTTCTAGAGCTTCTTCAACCCGATTTAGAATATGGATTGAGGATACATTGGAGACGAATGCCTTCAAGGATGGTTATAGTTTTTCTATTGATACATAATTTGCAATTGGATAGGTGGATCATTTTTCTCCCATATCTGGAGAATATCTATTTGGAGGCTTTCCTCGATTTCTCTTGTCAGGTAATTTGAATCTCACAGGACTGTTAGAACTAACAATATTCTTAGTGTTAAGGGAACTTACCTCAAGTTTATCCACTGGAGATTGGTTTGGTACTTGACAAGGGATGGGTTGTTCTATCCTAGGCATATCATCACCTTCTAACTTGGCTTCAATGTGTCCAACATGTTCATTAGTCGTATCTTCAATGAGGGTATAAGTAATATGCTCGGCAGCAATAATGTCTTTAGTAGCATGTTCAGTAACAATTGTATCTATCTTAAGAATATTTAAATTCTCATTCTCTCTAGATAAAGTTCCTCCTCCAGATGTCCCTCTAACTATTTTATCTAGTTCCATAACAATATTTGTCTCCCACCAATTTAGACTTTCTGTGCTAGCCTCCCCCTGGAAGGATGAATTGGAATCTGAGAAAAAAAATCTGTCTCAACAAAGGTCATATCTATGGTAACATAGGTTTTGCAAGTAGAGGGGTGGTAACAACGGTAGCCTTTTTGGTGAGTTCCATATCCTAAGAATAAGCAGCGGAGAGCACAAGGGTCAAGTTTGGTTCGATGAGTAAGGGGTACATGCACAAATGCGTTCGATGAGTAAGGGGTACATGCACAAATGCCACACAACAGATTGAGGATAAAAGGTAAAGGAACATATGCATTTAGAGCTTGATAAGGTGTATGGAAGTTCAAGACCTTAGAGGGCATATGGTTAATCAAGTGTACTGCAGTGGCGACAACACTGTCCCAAAATTTTGGAGGAACATGTTTCTCAACTAAGAGGGATCTAGCAGTCTCAAGAATGTGCCGATTTTTCCTTTTAGCTACCCCATTTTGTTGGGGTGTACCAGGCATGAGTACTCATGGATCATACCTTGTTGCTGAAAAAATTCCTGAAGTGATGCATTCATATATTCTCCACCATTGTCACTTCGCAATACTTTTATTTGTGCTCCAAACTGAGTTTGAATCATCATGTGAAAGGCTTTAAACAAAGCAGTGACTTCAACTTTGCTTTTCATTAAGTAGAGCCCGGTCTTCCTAGTAAATCATTTACAAATAATACAAACCAGCGGTTTGTTGACATACCAATAATAGGTGAAGGTCCCCACACATCTGAATGGATCAAAGAAAATGGAATATAACTTTTATTGAAGCTTATTGGAAATGGCGCTCTATGACTTTTGGCCAAAATACAAGTATGACAT